TGGTGGGTGTTCCCGGAGACCGGAGATTTCCCACCACAAACAGGAGGGTGTCCCTCACACCTGGTGCCCCCTCTCAGCTGCTGTTTCTCTCTCCTCACAGTCTGGCTCAGTGGGTTCATCGCCATTACCCTGATCAGCGTGACATCGCTGTTGGCCGTGGCTATCATTCCATTGCTCAGTCGCTCCTTTTCCAAGATCCTGCTCCGGTTCCTGGTCACTCTAGCAATCGGCACACTGTCTGCAGACGCCCTGCTCCACCTCATTCCTCATGTAAGTACAGATCCCCCTCCCGCTTTGGGCGTCTTACGCAGGAACAGCAAGGGGCCATTCAGCCCCATCTCCTTGAGCCTGTCACACAGGAACAGGAGGAGGCCATTCAGCCCCCTCTCCTCGAGCCTGTCACACAGGAACAGCAGGAGGCCATTCAGCCCCCTCTCCTCGAGCCTGTCACGTAGAACAGGAGGAGGCCATTCAGCCCCATCTCCTTGAGCCTGTCACGTAAGAACAGGAGGAGGCCATTCAGCCCCCATCTTGAGGCTGTTACACAGGAACAGGATGAGACCATTCAGCCCCCTCTCCTCGAGCCTGTCACGTAGGAACAGGGGGAGGCCATTCAGCCCTCTCCTTGAGGCTGTTACACAGGAACAGCAGGAGGCCATTCAGCCCTGCCTCCCTACAGAGAATGGACGAGACAATTGTTGTCAGGGGGTTGGGGGTTGGGGGATGCAGGGAAGTAGGTGGGGGCCGACCTTGATTGAACCCGACGTGGGAGGATGTGGGAGGGGGGGGGGGGTGGGATTGGGGCAAGTCAGGGAGGTCTTTGGTACAATCCAAGGAGCCCAACAGCGAGGACCTTATCCCCCACCCCCCACCAAACCGTGTCTGCATTGATCCTGTTTCAGAGCAGGCAGCTACAGCAGCCAGAGGAACACTCGGAGGCAGCAGAGAAGGACTCTATCTGGAAGGGGCTGTCTGTGCTTGGAGGAATCTACATCCTCTTCATCATCGAGACCCTCCTGGGCCTGTTCAGGAACTGCAGAGGAGGGAAGGTGAGTGCGCCTTATCTCTGAGTGCAAGGCTGGGGTGGGATGTGTAACTGGGGCCCAGGGACTTGGGGTAACTCTGTGCACAAAACACACAAAAAGCTACCGCACAGCGGGCAGCAGGTAATCAGGAAGGGCTTGTTGGCTCTCAACAGGCCAAATGGCCTATTCTGTGCTGTATATCTCAATGATTTATTTCAAAGGGGTGGGGGTTGGAGTATAAGAGTAGGGGGAGGTCTCACTGCAAACTGTACAGGGGATGCTGGTGGGGCCATATCAGGAGAACTGTGAACAGTTCTGGTCCCCATATTTGAGGAACGACGTTATTTCATTGGAGGCAATTCAGAGAAGGTTCACTGGGATGGTCCCTGCGATGGAGGGATGGTCTTATGAGCAGATGTTAAACAGGTTTGGGACTCTCACTCACTGGAGTTGAGGAGAATGAGAGATGATCTCATTGAGACACATTGGGGTTAGACAGGGTCAATGCTGAGAGGGGGTTTTCCCGTCACGGGAGGGTCTGGGATCAGGGGGCACAGCCTCAGAATAAAGGGGGGCTGATTTAAGGCTGAGTTGAGGAAGAATTTCTTCTCTCAGAGGGTTGAGAGTTTTTGGAACTCCTTGCCACAGGGATCTGTGGGGGACAGAGTCCCTGTATATATTGAAGGCTGAGATAGAGAGATTCCCGATCATTCGGGGAATCTGGGGAAAAGTGGATGTGAGGATGGTCGAATCAGCCACGATCCCTATAGAATGGCGGAGCATGCTCGAGGGACCGAATGGCATACTCCCTGTTCCTGTTCCTGTTCCTGATGGGAATCATCCTCCGTGCTTCCAGTCTGTCCAGCCCTGTTGGAAGTTTCAGTCAGATCCCCATACACCCTTCTCCTGAATGTGGGCTGAGTTCAAACGACCTGACCTCATGGGACGGTGCTCTCATCCTCAGCATGATGAGCCTGGTGACCCTCCGCTGTGCTCCCTCCACATCCTCTCTGAGGTAGGGAGACCAAAACTCCGTGAGTAGTGCTAACATCGCTAGGCTCCAGGAATCCTTGACTTCAGGGAGAGCAGAGTGGGAGGGCACGTCCCTGCATGTACCAATGGTGCTGAAGTGGAGGTGTTCGAGAGCGTCATGTTCCTCAGGAGGCTAAAGAAATTCAGCATGTCCGCAAGGACTCTTACCAATTTTTATCGATGCACTGTAGAAAGGATCTTATCCAGAAGCTTGCTCTGCCCAGGATCTCAAGAGAATCACGAACGCAGCCCAGTCTATCATGCAAACCAGTCTTTAATTTTGACTGATTAAGTTTCCTTTGGAATTTCCGTTTGTGAGACAGTGGGAGTTTTTTTTTTGGACTGATTTTGTTCAGCTCAGGACATTTGAAAATGATAAGACGCGCTGCGTTACATTTAAACAGCCAGCGCAGGCATGTAGGAGGAAAGCCATTTCTGAGTGAGTGCAGGGAACAGTAAATAGGATGTGACCTTTGCTTAGGGTTTCAAACGTTAAGAAAGGTTTTTGGGAGGGTAAGTAACTGAAAAGAGGACACCTTCCCGTCCTGCCATCTCAGGGATCGGTGCTGGGTCCACTGTCGTTTGTCATTTGTACCAACGATTTGGCGGAGAATTTAGAAAGCATGGTTAGTAGGTTTGCAGGTGGCCCCAAAGTTGGAAGTGCTGTTGACAATGAGGAACGTTACCCCTTAGGACAGTGGAATCTTGATCAACTGGGTCAATGGGCTGAGGAGTGGCACGATGGAGTTTAATTCAGATAAATGTGAGGTGTTGCTTTTTGGTAAAACAAACCAGGACGGGACTTACACAGGTTAATGGTAGGGCCCTGTGGAGTGTTGTCAAACAGACAGACCTGGGGGGTTCAGGTACATAGTTCCTTGAAAGTGGAGTTGCAGGTAGACAGGGCGGTGAAGAAGGTGTTTGGTACGCTTGCCTTTATTGGTCAGTGCGTTGAGTATAGGAGTTGGGAGGGTCATGTCGAGGATGTGAATGATGTTGGTAAGGCCTCTTCTGGAGCCCTGTGTACCAGTTCTGGTCACCCTGTTATGGGAAGAATGTTACTAAATTGGAGAGGGTTCGGTAGAGATTTACCAGGATGTTGCCAGGTATGGAGGGTTTGAGTTATAGGGAGAGGTTGGGGTGTAGGAGTTTGGGGGGTGGTCTTGTTGGGGTTTATAAAATCACGAGAGGCAGAGATAAGGAGAATAGCCAAGGTCTTTACCCCCAGGATAGGGGAGTTCAAAACTACAGAGACATAATCTTATGGTGGGAGAAGAAGGATTTAAAAGGGACCTGAGGGGCAACTTTTTTACACAGGGTGTTTCATGTGTGGAATGAACTATCACAGGAAGTGGTAGATGCAGATGCAGTTACAATGCTTAAAAGACATTTGGACAGGTACATGGGTGGGAAAGGTTTAAATGGACATGGGGAAACAGTTTAGTTTGGGGAAACCCGGCTAGCATGGACGCGTTGGGCCGAAGGGTCTGTTTCCACGCTGCGTGAGGCTATAACACACCTTGTGTTTTTCAGTCCTTTACTCTTACAAAAGGGGCTTGCCTGCGTTAGCACTCTCCTCTGATACGGGATCACTCTCGCCTTCCTTTTGGCTTTATCGTAAGGCATCCCGTGACAAAAGTGTCTCTGGTCGAGTTCAGTGGGACGGACTATTCCG